AATGGAAATGTGTGGGAGTCCTGTCTTCCCCTTCTGCTGTTTATTTTCAAGTCAAGGTTGTAGTTTGAATGTTTGCTTTCAGTGACAGCTCCAGCATGTGCTGGCCTCCAGTTCTGTCTCATCGCTGCCTGACCACTCTGCACAAATGTTTGTGCTGGCACGAGAGTGGGGATGGGAACAAATGTTTGGGTGGAGGGAGAGGATGGGATTGCTTCCTTCGGCTGCAACACCAGCTGACGTTGGCTAAAGGTCTTCTGGCAGAATGGCAGCCTGCGTGCTCTCAGATAAATTGCCATGTCTGACAGTCTGCGTTTGGCTGCAGAGTGGGGCTGCTGGGGAGGGGAGAGCCTGCAATGGGAGGGCTGCCGGAGGGCAGGAGCGAAGAGCCGGCCTTTGTGGCGGTGCTGCTGGCAGCACTGGGGCAGCTGGTGGACTGGGAGCCTGGGGCTGGCTGGGAGAATGCCAGCAGTGGCTCTGGCAGCCTGGCAGAGGGAGACCAAGGAGGAGGGGGGCTGTGGGGACCCCCAGGGTCGCACTGTGGGTAGAGCAGTGGCATCTGGGGGTAGAGGTGCCAACCCACAGCCATACGGCAGCGCCATGGCAATAACTGCGATGAATGTGATTGGAGGTGTGGGTAAGCTTAGCCTCGTCCTTTTCCAGTGGTGTCTCAGCTTGTGGAGACACTGGGTGCCTGGATCTCCATCCAGGCAGCGCACATGGTGCGTGATGAGACTGTGTGCACCCCTCCATGCCCAGGCTGGGCTGTGGTTCTTTGGTCAGCACTCTTTGTTCATGGGATAAGGTGAGAGTTGAAGGTTAGGAGTCCAGCCCTGTGTCCCAGGCTGATCAGGAGTGCAGAACATCTGCAGCGTGCAGAGGCTGCTGTCCTGGGGAAATCCTTGCCATCAAGGCAGCGTAGGTGGATGGGTGTGTGGGCGAGGCAGGGGAGCAAAACAGCATCATTTCGCCAGTGGCTGGGGCTATGAGGACCAGATACAGCCAAAGCTGGCTGGGTTTGCATCATGGTACCCCCAGGCTGGCTGCTCTGTCGCTCTCTGGAGCTGGGAACAGAGAGGGGCTGAGGAGGCTCCGGGGCTGTCTATGCGCAGCAGCGTGAGTTCCGGGCCGTTTGCACCGCTGCTCAGCCTAGCGCAGAGGCCATTCCTGTGCTGCTGCGGTGTGCGCGTCGCTCTGAAACTAATTTGCTTGATCATTTTAATAAATGTAGAAGTGACATCTTGGCATGCGAGTAATGGGGCATTAATCCCCACCTAGCTGTGTTAACAGCACTCTAGGAAGGAATTAATGTCACATAATTCATCGCCCGTGAGGCTCTTGCTCTCAGTTACGGGATGTTTGATTGAGGACCCCCATTTCGTGAGGGCTGCTCAGCTTCTTCGGCTTTGAGGGGGGTCTGTGTCATTTCCCCTGTCCACCTGCTACCAGTTTCCTCCCAGTTCCTCTGCTCGTCATGCCATGCAGGTTCCCAGTTTGAGCAGTGCTGCTGTTCCCCTGGCCGGGAAGTTGAACCATATGAAGGCTTTCTGAGGCATCGGCTCTTTTGTGGTGCTGCTGGCTTGCCTGCTGCCCCAGTGCAGGTACTGATGGGGGTTTGCTGGGAAGATGCAAGCCCTGTTCCCTGCTCCCGTGGGAAGCCCTGGAGCTACACCCCTGCTTGGCTGCAGAAGCTTTGCGTGCGTGCTTTTGTTTGCATTTTTTTGGCTCCTGAGAGCACCATGTTCCTGGGGAGATATATTTGAGTCTTAACTTAATCTCTTTCCTTTCTAGGTTAAATGTATAATGTTGTTCTGGATTTGTTTTTTAAATACCCTGTAAAATTACCGGAAGTCTCTTCCTAGCCTGTGTTTTACCTCTTCTCAGACATCAGGACTGCAGCAGGTATTTTCCTGCCCTGGGAGGGACTGGGGTCCGATTCTCCCCAGGAACTCCCTGTCCAGGGCGCTGGAGGCTTCATCCTTCACCATCTTTTAAGGGACTTGGGGAGTTCTGTAGATTACAGCAAAGTGCTCAGATAGAGTTTGCAGTGACTTTGGGTTTATTTTGCAAATGGTCATTTGCTGGAGCTCTGTTTAGACAAACAGAGCTCAAATCAGCTTTCCAGTTCAGTGCATTAAAATCCCTTAATGCATTAAAATCCCCTGGCCACGGCCATTCAGGCCCCTGCTGTGCCAGGTGCTGTATAAACAGTTATCAAGCGCTGGTGTCTGCTGTGAAATGATCACATTGTTCACTTGCCCTTGCTAGGCCATCAGTTGAGTAGCTTTTGTTTGGGGAGATGATACTAGTCCTGGCATTTGCTGGCTGTACAGCCAGCACCAAGGGAGCTGTACCTTTGCCCGGTTTTAAACCCAGGAGGAGTGGTTTTACCCCTTCCTGCCGGGCCCCTGCAGCAGGAGCATCTCTTCTCTGGTGGGAAGCAGCAGCGGTTTTGCAGCTGGGTCAAACAGCTCTGCCATTACCGGGCAGGGGGAGAGCTGAAGCCAAAAGGTAAAAGGAAAAAAAAGCAGGAGAGAGCTGGACCCGGCTGTCCCCAGTCCCTCTTGGTGTGGTCATGTCTGCTCCCACCTCCACCACCCTACTTGTGTCAGCAAGTAAGGAACAGCCCTGTGATAGGTTTGGGTGTCCAGCTCAGTCTCTCACTCTTTCAGCTGCCTGGCCATGGTGAACATTAGCACCTTGCTGTCTTCTCCTGCACTGCCCTTGGCGATGGGCGCCTGGCCTCCTGGGTGCCCCTCCACAGGGGAGCAACAAGGGGGGGTTTGCCAGGGCTTGGAGCAGGGTGTCAGGACCGCTTGGTGCGTGTATTTTGTCAGAGCTGCTGCCTCTATTACACAAATATCCTCTTGAGGGTAGAGATGTTATCAAGTGAGTTTTCATGCTTCAGGGCTTGTTCATGCCAGGGTTACAGGCTTCCAACAACTGGTCTGTGTGTATTTTTATATTTTGGTCTTATTTCAGTTAAATTGATTAGTTTAACCTGAAACAAACTGCTCTTGTGGACGTGCACATGAAAGCGCACGCAGCGAAGGTGTAACTGATTTTTCATTCGGAAAGTGTGCGCTTAGCTGACTGGGGATTTTTAAGGTCTGCTTCCACAGATCAGCTGAGATTTCGTAAACTGTCTGAAGAGGGGTTGCGGAAGGGATGGAAGGTGTAGTAGTGTGGTGTAGCAGGTGAGGTTCCTGTGCAGGGCTTTGGAGAGGAGCCCCTTTTCCTAGCGAGCTCCACGTGCTGGGCTCTCACGGCTTTGGTGGAAGGTGTGACCACAGGAAAGGCAGTTTTAGTCTCGTGTCACCCAAGCATGGGACTGTACGAATGCTCTCCTGCTGCCCTGTCCTTGGCGCCTGATGTAACAGGAAGGGAAGCGGGTCGGTACTGAACTGGGTGGAACCTCAACCCCTCTCCTTCCCATATGTGTTTGCACCATCACCAACTCTTTACGCTGTCAGGGACCTTTTATTCAAAAAACTGGCCCTTGGGTTTTATCTCCAAAACAGAAGTGTCATCCCGAGAGCTACCTTGTTGGATGTGAGATTCTGTGTAGCTTCGGGAATCTGCGATCAAGGGGAAAATGTCATTTTAGAGGCAGAGGGCAAAGATACGAGCAACTCCCCTATGAGGACAGGCTGAGAGAGTTGGGGGTGTTCAGCCTGGAGAAGAGAAGGCTCCGGGGAGACCTTAGAGCAGCTTCCAGTGCTGAAAGGGGGCTACAGGAGAGATGGGGGGGGGACTTTTTGCAAGGGCAGGTAGCAACAGGACAAGGGGTAATGGATTTAAACTGGAAGAGGGCAGATTTAGATGAGATCTGAGGAAGAAATGTTTTCCTGTGCAGGGGGTGAGGCAGTGGCCCAGGTTGCCCAGAGAAGCTGTGGATGCCCCATCCCTGGAGGGGTTCAAGGCCAGGCTGGATGAGGCTTTGGGCAACCTGGGCTAGTGGGAGGTGTCCCTGCCCATGGCAGGGGGGGGAACTGGATGATCTCTAAGGCACCTTCCAATGCAAACCATGCTGTGATTCTATAACTCCTCTGCTTCTGGCTTGCCACTCAGGTGAGGGAGGAGAGCGGCCAAGTGCTGCTGAGATGCCTGATGGAAGCATGGGGCACCTGATTCCCAGGCTGGAGGTGGGGAGGAGACAAGGACAAAGCTGACGGTTGTGGCCACTTGTGAAATTCTCTCCAATGTCCAGATTTCTTTGTGTGGTGACTTCTGACAGATCTCGTCTTAGAGGGAACCTTTTCCTGCATGAAGCTTCAGTGCTCTGCCAGTAGCAATCCAAAGGACAAAGTCACATCAATGTCTCGGGGAGGGAGAGGCACTAATTAAAGAATGATGTTGGCACAAGACCAAGCATGGGCTGTCCATGTGGGCTGGGAAATAGAGGAAGGACTGTAACTGCTGGAGGAGCAGGGTTTTGAATACTGTCCTTTAGAAAAAAGCATGTGTGTGTTGGAGGGAAGTGCTGAACGGGACTTGCGACGGCACACGACTGTCTGGGGGTGGCTGGGTGGACCTGCAGAGGGTTGGAGGTCCCCATGGTCCAGTGTGAGATGCTCCCTGGAGTTTGAGAGAGCGTGATGGGTGCTAGTGGCCTGGCTTCTGGGCAGAGCTCGTGCACTGCATGGCTGCTGCCTTTCCTCATGTGCTGCTGGAGCCTGACGACTCTGGCAGCTCTTCCCTCCATCCCTGCTTGTATATTTATATACACATGCATTTATAAGGCTCCCTCTAGAGCTCAGTCTCCTCTCTGAGGAGACCAGGTGCTCCCTTAAGGCACTTGTTCCCCAACTGGCCTCACCCTGCAGCCTGCCCAGCAGGACCTGAGCTTCAGGAGGAGTGCAAGGGTCTCAACTTTGTCTCTCTGGTGTCTTTCTCTCCTTTCCCAGGAAGAAACTGAAGCGAAAAAGAAGTGATTGAAAAACAAGTTAAGGAACCGTTTGAAGAAGCAGATTCACTTCTTAACAAGATCAAGTTTGGATTAAATGGCTGATAAACAGATCAGGTAACTTTTTTAAACTTTTGAGTTGTTGGTTGTGCTTTAGATTTGTCTTTTAAAGTCTTTCAAATTTAATCCCTTTTGTGATATAGGACATTGGGGGATATCACCTGATCATCTCTTCTGGCCTTATACGGTTCTGATTCCTTCTCTGCTGCTTTCTTATCTGCTATTTTTCAGCCTTCTCTTATTTTCTGTTTTTGCAATGTTGTCACATCTCTGCTTTCTTCATTTCTCTTTTCTCCTTGCCTTTTTCTTTCTGCCTTCTGCTTTTTAGCACGCACGAGTCTGTTCCTTTTTGTATCCTCTTTCAGAGGTCAGCTTGACTTACTGACTTCAGCCTGTTGACATGGAGGGAGCAAAGACAGCTCCTTGAGCAGCTGAGGATGCAGGGCTTGTCGTTACAAAGTCCATGTAGGTGCAGCCTTATGCCCTTCTTCTAAAGCCAGGCAGTGCTTGAGTGATTGCAGGAACATGAAGTACCAACAATCATTAGTGATGCTTAAGTGCACAGCAGGAACTTAAGAGCATTGGTCCTGGCATATGTGAAGGCTGGATTTTAGTTCTCCCTGGAAATTAATTGGGATATGTTTTCTGGAAAGATACAGTTGTACCCTTAGCTTCCTTAGAGCTGTGTCAGATGGATCTCCACAGTCCTGCATGTGGATTTAACTTTCTGCTGCTTGTGAAGTTGCCCTGGATAGATGACTCCAACATGCTTTGGGATTCCTGTGAGTTTTTTGTGTTCTTCTAACATCTTACTTTTCCAGGTGGCCAGCTCAGGACAGGAGGGGTCAGTGGGTGAATGAAGCCTGGTGACAGAGGGCCAGGACTTGGCAATCCCTGAACACTACAGGCAAGAGGACTGCCCCTTCTGAGCATTTGCCGTGATATAGGATATCTTCCTGCATGCCTGCCTTCTGCAAGTGAAAACAGTCTCGAGCTGTGCTGATAACAAGACAGCAGTGTGGAGTGTGTATGTGCCTAGATTTGCCTGTTATCAGTTTCCTAATTTGGAGAGCACTTGGCACTCTTCTCTTACACCCGTGAAGGGCGCGCTGAGATTCAGCTCCATGGAGCCTGATGGGTGTGTGTCCCTGATAGCCTCAGCAGGTCAAAAGGACTGAATGTCCACAGCCGTTTGAAGCTTGGGATTTTGAAGGAAGGGGAGATGAATCCTCCAAGATCTCCCCCAGCCCCTCTGATGTGCTCTTGGTAGTGTGAACAGAGCTTGCTGGCTACAGGGACTACTTCAAAGGGCCGAGGAGGAGCACTAGGAGAACTGGGATGCCTTTCTATCTTCTCTCACATTACACTGAGCAAATGGCTTTATTTGTATGCTAGCCTCTGTTGTCTCTGTGTCACTAAGCCCTGCACACCTCTGTAGTGAGGGGCAGTAGCTGTGCAGAAGCTAAATAGGACAGAGACCAGGCACAGTGGGTTCTCAGCCCATGAGAGCCCATGAGGGTAGAGAGCACTGAGGGGAAAAGTAGGATGACTTAGTCACAAGGGAAGGAGCTTTTGATTCAGGTGCAGTGCCTCTCTCTTGGGCACGTACTGGTTGTGGCTTGCAGTCTGTGCCCTGAATCCCTCGCCTCTCCCGCTTAGGTCATCTCTCCCGTCTGTGTGACCCCAAGTCTGCCACGGTCACAGGCAGCCAAGCCAAGGACATCAGCAAAACACAGCCGGAGTGCCTCCAGCGGGTGTCTGCAGACAGGGAAGTGTGCATGGGACGTGAATATGGAGGATCCTCCTGCACCCCTCCTGGGAAACCCGCGTGCTGGATTTCCTCTCTGAAATGCCTGTACACCAATGCACACAGCATGGGGAACAAACGGAGAATTAGAGATCTGTGTGTGGTCGCATCTCGTCGCAATGACGGAGATGTGGTGGGATAGCTCGTGTGACGAGTGCTGACAGGGATGGGTGTGCAGTTTAGAAAAGACAGGCCAGGAAGGCACCGTGGTGGAGTCGCTCTTTATGTGAGAGAGCAGCTGGCGTGTATTGAGCCCCTGCCTGGGGGTGGGTAAAGATTAAAGGGCAGGCTAATACGGGTGACGCTGTTGTGGGTGTTTGCCACAGTCTGCCGGAGGAGGAGTAAGTCAAGGAGGCCTTCTGCAGACAGCTGGAAGCAGCCTCGTGATCCCAGGGCTTGGTTCTCATGGGGGACTACAACACCCCCATATCTGCTGGAAAGACAATGCAGCCAGGCACAGACAGTCCAGGAGGTTCCTGCAGAACACCAATGATAACTTTGTGACATGGGTGATGGAGGAGACAACGAGGAGAGGTGTGCTGTTTGACCTTGTGCTAACAAACCAAGAAGGCCTGGTTGGAGATGTGGAGGCTGGGGGCAGCCTTGGCTGCAGTGACCGTGAGATGGTGGAATTCAGGATCCTGTGAGGAAGAAGCAGGGCAAAGTAGGATGCAACCCTGGGATTGGATGAGTGGACGATGAGGTGGATTGAGAACTGGCTGAATGGCAGAGTTCAGAGGGTTGTGATCAGCAGCACAGCGTCTAGTTGGAGGCTGGTAGCTAGTGGTGTCCCCCAGAGGTCAATACTGGGTCCAATATTGTTCAACTTACTCATCGGTGACCTGGATGAGGAGACAGAGTGCACCCTCAGCAAGTTTGCCGATGATACAAAACTGGGAGGAGTGGCTGATGCACCAGAAGGTTGTGCTGCCATTCAGAGAGACCTGGACAAAGCTGGGTGGAGAGGAACCTCATAAATTGAGTGACATCGCACTACTGGAGAGAGTCCAGGGAGGGCTACGGAGATGATTTAGGGGACTGGAACCTCTCTCTTATGAGGAAAGCCTGAGAGAGGTGGGATTGTTTAGCCTGGAGAAGACTGAGAGAATCTAGTCAATGTATACAAATATCTAAAGAGGATGGAGACAGACTATTTTCAGTGGGGCCCAGCAACAGGACAAGAGTCAATGGGCACAAACTGAAATGCTGGAAGTTTCATCTGAATAGGAGGAAAAATTACTTTACAGTGAGGGTGACAGAGCTCTGGAACAGGCTGCCCAGAGAGGTTGTGGAGTCTCCTTCTCTGGAGATACTCAAAACCTGCCTGGACATGATCCTGTGCAGCATGCTGTGGGTGACTCTGCTTGAGCAGGGGGTTGACCTGGATGATCTCCAGAGGTCCCTTCCAACCTCAGCTATTCTGTGACTCTGTTTAAGCCTGGAGGATCTACCAAACCCCTCTTCCCTTGCAGCGTTCATCTGTCATCCCTTAGCAAAACAAGATTGATACCAAAAGACTAAAATCCACAGCAGTGGTTTGCTGCAAGGTGAGATGAAGGGAATTGCGTTTCTGCAGCGGCACACGTGGAACTTGATCTCAGTGTCTCGCCTGCTTCCGCCGCACAGTCGTTCTTCACTAGCCTCTCTCCTCTGCGCGTGGGGGAATCGGGATTTGGGTGTGATGGGGGTGTTGAACAAGTGTTTCTCACCCACAGAGGGGGAAACTATCTGCAGGCCACGTTGCCCAAAATTTGTCTTGCCTGGGCATATCAGACTGTTCCCCTTTATTGCAGGAGTCTGTACTGAAATTGGGGAATCTCCTGCACGTACGGTGCCAGGAGGCAAGATGTTTGCCACGTGTCTGTGTCTCACTCCCGCCTGACATAAACCCTGTGATGATTTCACTGTTGGAATGGGTTGAGAGAGGCAAGTGTCTGCCTGCCCTGGGCGTTTCAGGGACACTTGAGAAGCAATGGCAGTGCTGAGACTGGAAAGGGGCATGTACTGGTTGTGGCTTGCAGTCTGTGACCTGCCAGCGGTGACTTGGGAGCTGAGTCTGGGCAGGCTGATGTGATCCTGGCTTGAAACACTCCTTCCCAGAGGTGCCTCCATCTTGACACACTTTTATCTGCTCTCTAACGTTCTCTTCCAGTGTGACTATGGGTTAAATAAGGAGAGAGCCATGATGTGAAGCTTAGTGTTTGAAGTTTTCCATGTCCTGAGAACAAGTTCAGCGTAGGAGTGTTTGGGCAAATCTCTTCCCTTCTCAGACTGTGGTGCAAAGACCCCCAAGGCAGCAAAGTCTCGGGCTGGTAAGATCTTGCAGCCTGGTCTGCGTTGAGCTCACGCACCGATTTGGGCCTGCCTTTCTAACACGCTGGGCTTGATTTCATCTTGATCAGCACCGGCTTGTTTGGGGATGCGGGCTGAGCTCAGGTCTGCCTGCCTGTCCTTGGCACCTCTTTTTCCAGCTGCGCCAGCTTGGGGGCTGCGTACATGTGTTGTACCGGTGCGGGCGTTGAGGAGGAAGGAGCTCTGGCTGCAGGAGAGCAAAAGCTGACAGGAGTTTCTTGGAGTATCAAGGTCATGCTTAGCACTCATGCACAAAGACTTTTATTTTTTTTCTACCCTTCTTTTATCTGCTTTCCTCAGGGACACCTCAAGTTGAAACCCTGAGTCTCCACGTCCTGCCTTTCACTCAAGCCTGGAGCTGCGAGGCAGCTCTTCCAGCACAGCCACTTCTTAATCCTCTCTGCGATTGCCGCTCCATGCAGAGTGCTCTGCAGTGCTGTGGGGGGGACGTGTTTGCAGAGCTTCACGCCCCATGCCATGGCAGCCTCACCGCTTTTCCTTCCATTCCGTGCCCTGACCTGGAGCATCATGTCACTGTCATGCGAGGCAGCCTGCCTGTTACCCCTGTGGGAGGACTTGGCCTGACCAGCTCACCCTGCTGCAGTCTAGGACTGTTGTCAGCTTAATACCCGACACCTCC